CGACCCACTATAATCCTCCACGTTCGGTGTTAATGTGTCCAGTACGCCAACACTTTAGCCTCCAAAGAACCACCTTCCTCCACCGCCACATCCCTCCCAACACTTTAACCTCCAGAGAACCACCTCCATCCATGCATTCACTCTGGTTTAACGGACATCGAGGAACAGATAATTATCTTCATCATATCAGTTAACATGGTTTCTGTTATGATGCTTCCAAGAAACACATTCACTAGCAAAAAAGATGAAATTTCCTAGCTGTTCTTGATTCCAAACTTGAGATCGTAAAGTAGCCCTCTATTTTGGACATTTCCATTAGAATCATCGGAAGGAGAACGAGGAAGATCTTCAACACAATCATATATATATATATATATATATATATATATATTATATATATATATAATATATATATATATATATATATTGTGATCAATGAATACATGTTAGTTTGGTAATTTTGGTTTATGAGGATTATTTGTTAAAAACTTTGGTAATTGGTTTTTTTGGTACTTTGCTAATTTGAGAGTTTGGTAGTTTGGCTTATGTTAATAATTTAATAAATTTGTAATTGTTAGTTTGTTGGTTTGTTAGTTTGGTTGTTGGTTTAACTTAGAATGTAATTAGATAGTTTGTTAGTTTCGTAATTGTTACTTTGATAGTTTGTAATTGTTACTTTGATAGTTTGCTAGTTTGTTAGTGTGGTAATTGGTAATTGGTTTATGTTGGTAATTTGTAGTTTGATTATATTTTGATAATTGTTAGTTTGTTAGTTTGGTACTTTGGTTTATATTGATAGTTTAACTTATAATTTTATATGTTATTTATTATGTGGTTGAAAAATCTTCGATCAATACTCAACGATCTGACGTGTAGTGCGGAACTTCTAGCATGGTTTGCGGCAAATAAACCTACAGGTGATACCATAGGAAACAAGGGGAATCAAGATGATGACACGTCGGACTAGCTTATGTTTTGTTAGACTTGTTATGATATAATTATAATACTTTTCTTATTTATTTTGGTATATGTATGAAATTATAACACTTTTATTACTTAAGTGAATGTCGTTATGTAATCGTTTTTCTGCACTTAATGTCATTATGTATCAATTTTCTGCACCGGCTCGAAAATGGTTGATTTTAAAAATAAAATAAAAAGCAGTATTAGCAACTGAGATTTCCAGCTATTAGCAGCGACACTTTTAGCGGTGATTTCAGGTATGACCGGCGGCGACGAAACCATTAGCGACGACAAATTTATTTACCGATGTTATTTTTTAGCAATAGCGACGGGGTAATAGCGGCCGATTTGTCGCCACTATTCCAGCGGCAAATTTATCGCCGCTAATTGTTATTTTTTTGTAGTGTTTTTCTAAAAAAAAAAAAAGATATGTAATTGTCTCTCAATGGTTTGCCGGTAACCAAAAATTGTTTCGGACATTATTTGAACATAAAATGGTTTTATTATATAATATAATAATCTAATGAATTTTTCATCTATTGAGAAACGATATGTTTGAGTCTTTTTTTTTTTTTTTTTTTGTTTTTTTTCTAGAATTTCCTTTATTGTTAGTATATTATATTATAATATGGCAAGCATTTACATAACTTTTATATGTTTCTAACATCATGTCATTTATTTGAGTTTCATGTTTTAAGTGATGAAAACACATCATTGAGAAGTATTGTTAGAATGTAGTAATTATTTGTACATGACATTAGAATAAGGATGTTGAACAAGCCAATCCAGTCCGATTCAATTCAAAAGAGGCTAAAATTATGTTCCTTTGCGCCTCTACAACGAGTGTCGTGCCACGCTTTCGCTCATGCTGCCTTTGATAAACATATAATACCAAATTTTCAATAAATCTTAAGCACCTTTTTATAATTTACAAATAAATCTAAATTTTTGTATTTTCCCAAAAATTATCTTATATTATAAAACAAATCTATTTATGTTACATGATCACGTAAAATTTAACTAGTGTTAGAATTAAATCAAATGTTCAAATTCAAATTTTAAAATTGTAATAACTTAAAAAATAACAATAAATTTTTTTTCGTAAATAGATTCTTTAATAAACAATTTTTGAAAGATATAGATGGTTAAGAGTTTGGGTCTTAAAAATTATATGGATTATATATAATATCGGAAACCACTACATATCACTATATACTTAATATACATTTAATATGATATTTTTGAAACAAAATAGTATGAATTATAAACAAGATCAAACACAGTTAGAGAGAGAAACAGAAATCTAAAGTCACAAAAATGAAGATGAAAAACGTGTTCATGAACACTCAACCTAGTACACGCAAAAATAGGCATGGGGCCGGTCCTTGCAAACAGTAAGGACCACTCTACAACCGTCACTTTGTTCTTAATAATGAATTGAGTAGATAAATTAGAGTACATTACACAAAAGGTTCCTATGTTTTGGGGTATTTTGTGCGGACCATAATTTAATTTTTTAGCTTGAATCATTTTTAAGATTTATTTTTCATATTTAGTCCCTAACATACTTGGAATTACTATTACACCCTTATATATACATTTTAATTTATTTATTTTGTTATATTTAATTTTAATAAATATAGTTGGGCCCACCTCATACCCCACCACTATATGAAGTTATTAACTATGAAGCGTCCCTCTGTATCTCTGTCGCCTCGAATTACTATTATACATTTATATATACGTCAGTTATAGTTGATATATTTTTTATTATAGTTCATTTATTTTGATTGTAGGTGTTATTAGAAGTTTTTTCAAAAGACATATACATATTGGAGACAACAATGGTGAATGAATTTCCAACAAAATAAGGCTAATGAAAGTAACCAAGTTCCACAAACTAATCAACCTATGCTAAAACCACGAGAAACACAATCTAATGAACCTACTCAAACACCAAAAGTGACAAAATCTTTTGATTTGAATGATCTTCATTCGGACCCGAGGGATAGACCAAAGATTACATCTTATAATCATAATCAAAGGGATGAAATAAGGAGGACATACTTGATTAAAGGGTTTTGTCAACCAAAGGGGCATAGTTTTGAATATACCTTATTTAGTAATAAGCCAAGAAATTTTGTTGTGCAATGGTTTATTGATTTTCCATGGTTAGATTATAGCATAAAAATAAGAAGACATGTTGTTTTTGTTGCTACTTGTTTGGAGACATGGTAGGGGAACAAGGTGGAAGGGATACATTTATAACCGAAGGCTTTGATAATTGGAGTAAAAAATGCTCATTCCGGAAACATATGGGTAATATTCAAATTGTTACCATAAGGCCCAAGAAAAGTGTGATTTGCTATTGAGAAAAAACCAATCTATTAGTGAAGTCTACATAAGAAAACTAACTTTGGTTTTGTTTGTCGCAACCGCAACCGTTGAACGGTGTTTTTCTGCAATGAAGTTCTTGAAGACCGATTTGCATAATAGAATAGGTGACGATTTTATGAATGATGTTTTGATTTGTAGTGTAGAAAAGGAAGCACTAGAGAATGTTAAGACTAAAAATGTAATTACTCGTTTTCGTAAAATGAAAGAGCGAAAATGTGAACTTTAAAACGTAACTTTGTTATGGAAGTTGAGCTTTATATCTAATGAAATTTTGGTTTTTATTTTTTTTCTTGTTGTATATTACACAAAAAAAATAATTCTTGGATACTCCTTTACTTTAGCCCTGGCTCTGCCACTGTCACTCTCTAAGCCTTACGCTTTACACTTACTCATCTCTCCTGGAGACTAACTTGACCGTTGGAGTGTTCTCCTGGGATCACCTCTCGGAGACCGGCTGACGACTTGTATTCTCTTGTTGTGATAACAGATCTCCACCGGAGTCCAGCCATCAGCCGAAATGAAGAGACCGGAGGTCCGATATCACATCAGAAGGTGAGTGGTGGGCTTTACTAGAATTTCATTGTTTTGTTCTCGATGACAGTGGTGGGTTCCCAAACCATTTTGATTTCTTCTTAGAGACTGATGCAACTGATTTCCTACAAAGGTGGCTCGGTACCCACCTAAAAGAACATCGATTCTTTCTCTCCCTCTTTCTTTTTGCGGCCCTGGTTCCAGCCGCCCACCCCTGTTACAAGATTTCATCAGTTTGATTTCCATGTTTGTGCCAGGATGCAAATGCTCATTTTATGTTGAGGCTTGATTACAAGGTTTGGTTTTCAGTTTTGGTTTTGATTTGGTTTTTATTTGATTTGGTTTTAGTTTTGAGTTTTGAGTTTTGATTTCACATTTTATTTTGGTTTTGTTTTTATGCTTTAATTTAAGTTTGATTCCAGATTTGATTATGGTTTGGATTTGAGCTTTGATTGTTGATTTTGGTTTGGTTTCAAGCTTTATTTTGATTTGGTGACGGTGGTAACTAGTGGTGGTTAACAGTGGTTGTCGGAGGTGAAGGAGGTGTCGATGGTGTTACTATGGTGTGACTGGAACTAAGGAAACACACATACTTGATTGGAATTTCCATTGGTCGATGGTTGGGAGGTTATTACCGGAAGTGATGGTTCTCCGATGAAGGTTTTGAGCAGTTAGACCAGGCAAGACAAGGGGCGTGAGTTGGAAGGGTCCTTGCAAACCCTAAGGACCATTCTATGAACCGCAACTTTGCTCTTAATTATGAATTTAGTAGATAAATTAGAGTAAATTACATGAAAGGTGCCTATGGTTTGGGGTATTTTGTGCGTTTGACCAGAACATAATTTTTTAACTCGGATCATTGTTTTTTTTCATATTAAGTCCCTGGCATACTTGAAATTACTATTATACCCTTATATATACATTTTAATTTATTTATTTTGTTATATTTAATTTTAATAAATAGAGTTGGGCCCACCTCATACCCCACCACCGATATGAAGTAATGAAACTATGAATCGTCCCTCTTCTTATATATCTATCATTTGCTTCTCCCTCTCTCTCTCTAACCACACTCGTTGCTTATCGAAGTTCCAAATTCTCAGCGACCGTTAATTCTCGCCGGAAATCCAAACTTTTTCACCAAACTCTAAAAGATCATCGTAGTCCCCTGAAAGACCACTGCCTCTCCTCCCTCTGCCCCTCTCCCTCTGCTCCTGAAACCTATACGCATCGGAATCTGCTATCGGCTGGAAAGTCATCGAAAACAACATGGAAACAACAAAGAACCCTATCCATCTCCTCCTTAAAGGAAAAAAGATCACAGATTGAAGTTGAGCGGCGATCCATGAAACTGACACGGTCCACATTAATCCAACAATAACGATTCATCCAATTCTTGGGAAAATTCTTCTTCTCCGTCACCAGAACATGACTATTCTTGCGAATAGCAAAGGTGTAGCTCTCACCAGAAGAAACAAAGGCAAAACGAAAGAAATGGCAAAACACCCATATATGTAAAGTAATCCCATTAACACGACATATCATCTTGAAAGCAACTACCTTATTCACTCCTTTGGGAACCAGTTAACTTTGTGAGTATGAAGAACCTCTCGAAAGAAATCTGATGTCGGAAGACGATACCCAACATCAAAGTGTTTCACGTAAATAGCGATCTTACTCTTCGGCGGATTGATGAAACTAGCACTCTCACCAGGGAACTCTAAGTCGTCCTTTGGCTGGAAACCATACCTTTCTTGAAGAGTAGAAAACTGAACGGGAGTCGAAACAACCTTAATCGGAGAATCCATAGCAAAGAAAGAGAAAGATGAGAAAAACAAGGGTAGGAAAAAATTGAAGGGGTGGAAGTCATAAAAATATCGGTAGGTGGGAAATTCGTAACCCTAATGATGATGGTTGGCGTCACAATTGGGAAACGACTATGACGTGCAGCCGAAAGGACAGGAGCCAAACATAATGAGACCCATCATTTGATGCTAGTCCCATCCATTACAGCTAAGAAAGCCTACACAACAACGAATAAGACTAGGGAAACTTGATAGCATGCCTTCCGGATGCCAAAGGCGCCAATCGTATAGCCAGCCGGTATGTCGTCCTTGCCGCCTCATTCCATTCCCAACCCGCATCGGACTATCCCCCGATGTCTGAAGGATAACTTAGAACATGCACTGGAAAGTCAAAAGAAAACAAACCAGTACCTGCTAACTCAGTAAAGGTGTACGCACCATTACCATAGCTAAGTCAATCACAGCTTAGACAGGGGACAAAGGTACAATCCACCAATCAATACCTCTGTCCCGATCGGGGTCTGACACTCTTCTCTCCACGAGTGGGATCCGCGCCTAGATCCTTACTATAAAAGGCCATATGCCTTCAATGATAAAGCGATTGTGTAACGCCCGCAGATATGGGCTAGTCAATTTAGAGACAATGAGCGTCAAAAATGACTTTAAGATTATTTATAAGGAATAATCTTAACCAATTTTATGTCACAAGGGTTCCGTACATATAAAGAAGACTGAAATCCGAGTTATAACGAAGAAGTTATGACCCGTCGAAGTTTTACAGCTAAACCGACACGACACCGCGTAACGTAAAAAGTGAATTTTTGATAAATTACTTTTTAGCCTTAGGGATCTAAACAAAATTCGTATTATATGTTAAACCGAGAGCGTGCATAAAAAGAACGTCCAAATCTGACTTCGTATGAGAATCGAATTACTTTTTAGCCTTAGGGACTCAAATGGCATCAAGGGTGGCAACACTAAGTCTAAGAATCGAATTTGAACCATAAAGCTTCATCCTTGGGACCAAAAAGGAACCAAAACCCAAAAATAGATCTAAGAGATGAATGATCAAGTTCAAAGCTTTATACCTTCATCAAGCTAAGAATCAGTCCTAAAAGCCAGATCCATAAGCTCCTCCTTGATTCCCATCTTTGCATCAAACTCCATCTTTTTGAAAATGGATCAAACACCCCAAAAATGGACTTCATAAGCTCAAAATGCCACCATGGATGATATATGACGATTTCTAGGGTTTAGAGGGGTGGAGGCTGAAAATATTAGGGTTAGGTTATGAGATAAGGTGCCTAAATAGGGTCTAAGACCCTAAAATAGGGTTCTGATCTGATTTGTGTACGCCCAGCATACATATGGTACGCCCAGCGTACTCTGAGGAACATTCGCGACCATCCTGGTCAGTACGCCCAACGTACTGCCTTCTTCACTAGTACGCCCCGCGTACTCTTTGTGTACGCCCCGTGTACTCAGCTAAGCCTGAAAACCACGAAATTTCCGAAGGCCATAACTTCTTCGTTATAAGTCTGATTTCCGACGATCCTTATAACCATGGAAAGGTAACGAGAAGCCCTACACTTCTAACAACTCAAACCTTTCTTAAGACCTTCCGAACAAAAATCCATTTTCCACAAAGGCCCAAACTGCCACTTTACCGAAATACCCCTAGGCCTCAAAACACGAACCGAGCACCCGGATAACTTCTACTACATCACCCGCACCCAAATGGGCCTAGATCTTACCTTCTCAAAAGCCCTAATCCTGATGATGACCGATCATCGGGCCACAGCCTCAGACTAGGAATCAATTCGGAACAGAGCATTACATAAACTTAGAATCCTAAGCGATGATCGTAAGGAGTGTGTCTAATATATTTTAGGTAGTACAAAGGAATAGACACGAGCACTAGCTCATTTAGGGAAGATTCCTAAATTGCTTTATGTGCTAAATGATTTGTGATGCTTTATGATGCCATTATTTGATCGGATCTATGGTGTGTTGCCGACAAGATCTGGAAACCTTATGTGTTCAGATT